ATCTATCTCTCTCTCTCTCTCTCTCTCTCTCACACACACACACACACACACACACACACACGCACACACGCACACACACAGAGAGAGTATAGGGAGGCGGAGGCGGAGAGGAGTTGGAGGGAGGAGATGGAGGGAGGAGGTGGACGGGAGGTGGCGGACGGGAGGTGGCAGAGGCGGAGGTGAAGTGGCGGAGACGGGGGTGGAAAGAGAGAGAGGAGATGGTGGGGGGAGGCAGAGGGGAGGTGGGCGGAGACGGAGGGGAGGTGGGCAGAGATGGAGTCACCTCGGAGTACAGCCTTGCAAGGCACGGGTTGAGGGTGCAAGGTCAGAGGCCGTTCGACACGAGCAGGGCCATAGCGCCGCCGGCCATGCAACGGGCCAATGGCCAGCAGGTGCGGGGGCAGTTCTTTTACGACGGGCCCTCTTTTCAACGGCCGCGTCGATCCAGGCCGCCCGTGGTCCTACCGGCCCGATGGCTCGGATCGTCCTGCGATCTTAAGACTTTAAGATCGCGCGACGATCCAGGCCGTCCGGCAAGGCGGACGGTCTGGATCGCCACGCAATCTTAGTCTTAAAGTCTTAAGATCGCGCAGAAATCCGGGCTGTCGGCCGGTGGGCGGCGGGAGTCCCGGATCGGCCAAATGTTGGAAATCGCGCAGAAATCCGGGTTGTCACACACACACACACACACACACACACACACACACACACACACACACACACACAAATAACAGAAAAGAAAGGAAACAGAAAAATTAGCGCCACATGGCGCAGCCATGTGGTGCGATTTCGCACCTTTAGCATCCCCCCCGCACCCCTTCGACTTTCACCCTAACTTTTCCTATTCTCCCTCCTTTCCCTCCCCTGTACTTTCCCCTCCTCTTCTCGTCCTTCCCCTTTGTCCTCCTCCCTCTTCTCCTCCAGCTCCATCTCTTTTTGCCTGCCTACCCTCCCTCCTTTTAGGCTTTCGCCTTCCTTTCGCTCCTCCTTCTCGTGTTCCTCTTCCTCTTCCTCGTCCTCACCCTCCCCCTCCTCTTCCCTGTCCTTCCCCTTTGTCCTCCTCCTCCCCCTTCTCCTCCAGCTCCATCGTTTTCTGCCTCCCCACCCTCCCTCCTTTAGGCTTTCGCCTTACTTTCGCTCCTCCTCCTTGTGCTCTCCTTCTCCTTCCTCTTCCTCATCCTCGCCCTCCCCCTCCTCTTCCTCGTCCTCCCCTTCATGTCGCTTCGTCTCCCTTTCGGGATCAGAGGCAGTAGGAAAGAAAAACAAAACCACCATAGCCTGTTTCGGCCCCCTTTCCCGACGCCATTATCATCTTACCTTGTCCTCGCAAATAGTGCTCCTTATCTTTCATCTTCATCGGCGTCTTCATACTCATTTTCCATCTGTCAACGTCGTCATGGTGGAGTGCTTGG